ACCAATTTAAATAAATATTTGAAAATAAATATATATTAATCTAATCTAGTCTAAAATATCTAATCTGACCCTAAAGAGTGGTCAGATAAGTGTAAAGGAGTCTTTCTTAAATGCATGGAAGAAAACAAAAAAAAAAACAGATTTTAAAATGCTGTAATAGCTGTGAAGCACGATGGTGGCAGGGTTATGGCCACCAACCAAACCATTGTTGCTTTTTTCTACTTTCAGACCTTTTCTTTCCTAAAGATTCATTACAGCATTAGTGATGTAACACTGACGTATTAGAGCTTTTGTTCATTGTTTTCCAACTCCAGTGAGGAAACAGTTTTAAAACAAGACAATTGCTTTTTTAAATACTCTGTAGAATTACTAAAAGGGGGGAGAGTAGTGATGTTATGAGAGGAACCGAGGCTTCGAGGCGTGTGTCGAGTGATGGAGGGGGCGTTTTCATGCAGCGCGTGTCGAGGCGTGATTCATTTAGAGGAGGGGCCAAAATTGATGACGTCCGAAGCCTCGCTGCCGTGAAACCACGTGACCGCTTCGCTAAGTTGTTCGGGAAGCGCAAGAATTTTGACAGGCATCTAAACAGCCTCAGTGTTCAGTCAAGATGTGGGAGTTTGGAGGAGAGTTGCTGTCAGCTGGAAAAAGTTTGGATAGATTCTAAGAATAGATTAGTTGTTTTTCCAACCAATCTAGTTGTGTAAAACTATTTTGGTGAGAATAAACAATGTAATGATCAAAATCTGAGCAAACCACTGGACAAAGTTAGGGTGAACATGTCACTATTAAGTAGTGTTTTCTCCATGATATGGGTCTCTGTATAAGTGGCGTTAATTGTAAAACTCAGACTCTCACGCTAGAGGTTGTTGGGTCAAGACCTGTCTTTGACTTTTGAAAGCTGCGATTTAACTTAATTCTTTTGGCTGATGAGACTAATTTGCATTGTTTTGCCCGAGTAAAAATATAGATTGGGTAAATTAGGTCGGTTTAGCCAAAAGATTGGTTGAACACAACTTCCAACCTGATTAAAACCAAAAAAATGTGGGAAAACTATCATGTTTGAATAAAAAGGACTAACACCTTTCATTTTGCTCATCATTACCCGACACTTTCATTGTCTGCTTGAGTTTATTTCACTAAAATGGCAGAAAAACTGTGCACCTTAAATGATTGTTCTAAGAAATTTTACACTAAAAAAAAAAAACTTACAAAGGATTTCATTATACACACCAACCATTAACAATTTCAAAGGAACTTAAAAGGGGTAAAAAAGAAAAAAAAACTGCAAAAAAAAATCACAGATTTTGCTACAAACTGTAGTTCTGCCTTCCAACAGTAGGTGGTGACATGTTCACATGAAGCCTCATGAACTGTGGGGATCGTTGAAGCAATTTGGCCTCATGAGGCTTCATCTCACCACATAGGTGAGAGGCATGGAACAATGGCGGCCATATTGAGTTCAAATGCTGAGACAGTTTGTAGTTTTATGTGTATAAACCTTGTTGCTGTTAAATGTCCTCTAAACCAAAGGAGTCTCCTGTTACCAGATACTAGACATATGATTATAAATAGCCAAATGTCACCAACTCTACCTCCTTTGGGGAGATATCAAGTGACGGATGGTTTTCTTACGGTCTGACATGGTTTATAGCTTTGCAAGTCCTAAGTATGAAAAGAAATGTAATATTCTGAGGATATTTTTAATCAACAGAGCTTTCAAATACAGCAGCCGGCCAAAGACGGCGGCATTCAGCTCGATCCGTCTGTCATTTGTCAGCTTCTGCCTTTCATGTACGGTTCATAGCTTCAAGACGTTCTCAGTCCTGGAGTTTGTTAACATATCTGCAGAAACTGTAAATACGCTCCAGTTTATGCCTTGGGGATTTAAAACCCTCAGGTTCTGTGCCTGTCCAAAAGTCCAAAAGAAAGTTGAAACTCTTTAAAGCCCCTCCCCCCCAACCCGAATCAAAACATAAGATTTGCTACCCAGAGAAGATGTAGGAGATAAATAATTTATGGGTTTAAATTCAGCCACCGTCAATGTTTGCTGCATGCTTGGAGCTTTTTCCTCGTACTGAGATGCATTTGATGAGCAGCATTAAAGAGCCGATGGCCTCTTTAAATCAAGGCTCGTATTTTTCTTAAATAAAATCTTCCAATTTCCCATTTATAACGCGGCACATGGTTTTGCATTTATACTCTTATTAAAACATAACAAATCAATCAGTGTCATTAGAAATTAAACAACCTCGTACAATTTGAAGAAATACTTACTTGTGCTAATTAGGAAGAAAATTGGGGAAATTGTCAAAAAATATTGTTTAATCAAACCCTTTTAAGAAGTTAAGCCTTTTTTGATCAATCATGGTTTAAAGTGTTTTCAAAGTGGATCCACGATACTCTGAATGCGATTCTTCTCCATTGACTAATCCAAACATTTATTAAAATAATGCATTTGCTTAAAGGAATAGTACACCCAAAACATGATTAGCCTTTTTTTTCTACTCACCCCCATGCTGAACAACACTCTGGAGTACTTTTTTGATATCTCAAATGCATCTGGAGATCTGGGAGGCTTCTTGCTGTCTGCTGACATTCAAATAATGGAGGTCTATGGTGCCCGAGGCAGAAAGGTCCATAAAAGTCCACAAAAAACGTGTCAATATTCCTACATACTGCTCGTCCAATGTATTCCAAGTATCCTGAGTGGGTAGCATCCAGAATTTACTCGAAACGAAGTCATTTAGAATGTTTTTAGAGCATAAACAGTAGTGTATAGGATTTCCTGAAAGGGCGTTCACGAGTCTACGGAAACTGCGGCAGACCAAACCAGGTGAAAGTGCGCATTCAGCGTCTGCTCTGCCGATAAAGCAAGCGTAGAAGAAGAAATGTGCTGTTTACCTGTGCAAAGAAAGAAACAACGAAAGAAAAATGTCTGAGGACTTCAGTGTTGAGGAAGAGCATGAGTTCTTTGCCGAGCTGAATGCGCACTTTCGTCTGGTTTGGTCTGCCGCGGTTTCCGTAGACTCGTGAACGTGCTTTCAGGAAATCCTATACACTACTGTTTATGCTCTAAAAACATTCTAAATGACTTCGTTTCGAGTAAATTCTGGATGCTACCCACTCAGGACACTTGGAATACATTGGACGAGCAGTATGGAGGAATATTGACACGTTTTTTGTGGACTTTTATGGACCTTTCTGTCTCGGGCGCCATAGACCTCCATTATTTGAATGTCAGCAGACAGCAAGAAGCCTCCCAGATCTCCAGATGCATTTGAGATATCAAAAAAGTACTCCAGAGTGTTGTTCAGCATGGGGGTGAGTAGAAAATGAAGGCTAATCATGTTTTGGGTGTACTATTTCTTTAATGCACCATCAATATGCTGATGTGAGATGATGAAATGTAAACAACCTTCATTATTGTTTTGTTTTTTTGTTTTTCTCCCCAGAGCTTCCATATGGTTGGGAGAAAATCGATGACCCCATTTACGGCAGCTACTATGTCGAGTAAGTTTAGTGGATCCTTTGATTTTCCCGCGTAGCTTGTTGGTGCAGCATTAATCATGTTTATTATGAGGAGTTCGCAGAAGGAAATTCTTCATTTAAGCTCCTGCAGGCTTTGAAGGAAGTTTATTAGCCAGTGAGAGCTTTTTTTCTATTAGCCTGCGTCTGTTATGCTCACGGTTCTTGTATTCATTAATAGATGAATTCAGGAGCCGGCGTTTGCGCTCATGTGTCTCAGATGAACTGCTGCAGTGGTGTTTCCTCGTGTCTCTCCCTCTGTCAGGATTCAGTGTTTTTGGGGGAAAGTCACCGGAAGATGTTTATGCAAAACAAAAACCGGCAAACTGCCACCTTTCCATACGTTTTCTTCCTCTCCAGGTTTCGTTTCCGTCCTGATTTGTCTTGACCTGAATGATGCTTTGAGCTCTTTTCTTTATATAACTATGCAAAGCATTGTAAAATGGTTACATAATTACGACTTTGATAATGATGTGTTCATTAAAAGTTAAGTAGATAAATGCTGCCTGTGTGTGTGGGTGTCGGAGAAATATTTAACAATGACTAATTACCCCATGCTGGTCAATTCCACAACTTATAGTCAGTAATTTAAACTAAATTTAAAGGAAATTTACGTGTCATATCGCTAATTCTCTGGTAATTAATAGTATTATTGAAGAAAAGAAATGTAAAATAATGAGGGAGAGGCATTTAACGAATCCTTCTAGTAATATCTGCGGGTTTGTAGTATGTGATCTAGACCAGAAGGGGAGGGAAGCACTCTGGTCCAGCAGGGTACTGTAAAGTCTGAAATGTATCCTCCTATTTTTTATTTTTATTTTTTCTCTCTAGTCATATAAATAGAAGGACCCAGTTTGAGAACCCAGTCCTGGAGGCGAAGAGGAGGCTCCAGCAGCAGCAGCAGATGCAAAGTCAGGGTCTGTCCTCACTGCCCCTTCCCACCATCTACAGAGGTAAGAAACTATCCTGTTTCTGCATATAAAACATGCAGGTTATGATAGACGCATAACCTTTCTTTACAACATTTGAGTTCGATTGAGGTTTAACCGAACATATAGCAGCCAGAAGTTTAAATGTTTGCAAGAGCGTGCATTTTCATTTTAGGAGCAATATTTACTCTACTTGCATTCAAAACTTGTAATGCTCATATTCATCACTTCTGCTCTCAAATACATTCTCTTCTGCATCAAATCTTTGTTTCTGCTCTCAGATCTAATGCTTCTTGCACAGATATTTTCTCCTCTCGTTTACTTCCAAACCAATCTCTGCTCAAATCAGAGATACGCTTGCAAACTCTCTGACTCTGCTTGTGGATTTTTTTTTTTCACTCACACTGGAGTCGGATCGTCGCCTAGCAACCTTTCCAGCCAACAGAACATCCGCCTCAGAAAGGGTGCGCTTGTTTTCTGACGCCCAATTTGCCTGTTACTGCTTACTCATAATAAAATAGATTTTTAAAATAAGAAGCTGAAAACACAAAAGATTTAGGAAATAATAAATAAAAAAAAATAAAAATTATAATCGGGATTTCAGAATTAATAAAAAAGTCACCTAATTTTCAGTGGGAGGCAGAATTGGCATCTCCCCCTGAATAGCATACTATGAAGTGGGAGTGTTGTGTTCACCTCA